TGGGCGCCGCGTCTGGAGCGCTGGGGCGGCTGCACCGGGCGGACGCCCGGGAGGAGGAGGCAGCCCCGAGGTGAGCGGCCCGGCTCAGGGGGACGCCGCGGACCGGCCCGGGAAGCCCTTCCCCCGCCTCCCACAGAGCCCAGTGGACCCCGGCCCGGTCCACGCTGGTTCCCCCCGCTTCGCCGCCTTTCTCCTCGAAATTCCTTCCTATTTTGTGGGGGGAGGGGCATGCAGTAAGGACCCAGGACCTTGGCCCCTTGCGATCCAGCGTGGACCTGTACGGACCTCTGCGAGAGCCCCAGACTCCCAAGGATGCCCCCCACCCCGCCATGGAGGCCCCAAATTGGAGAAGGTCGTCCCTGCCCCCGCGGGTTGGGGATGCAGGCCTTGACCAAAGGAGCGGAGGGTTTTAGCCTGTGGGAGGCTCAGAAAAGGGCCCATTCCGCATTCGGTGGAGAGGGGCTGCAGATCCATGGCCCCTGTCTGGCCAGGGCGCCACGGGTACCCCCACCTCAGGGTGCTCAGCTGGCCTCTGCAGAATAAAGACCATCCGCCAGCCTGCTGCAGAGGCAGCATCGGGTGCTGGGGGAGGGGCTGGCACTGCCAGGCTGAGTGCAACCAGCCTCCCTCAGCCTATCTGCCCACCTTGGTGGGGAGGGGTACCTAATAGTCTGGATGGGAGGGGAGGGGGCAACAGTGGGCCCAGCCCCCATCAGGTCACCCCTACTGGGAGAATTTGCCTCCTGACTTCCTGCTGTAAAAATGTACTGGCTTCTGCAGGAGGTGAGTTGGGGGCCTGGGTGCCGCAGTGATTGCAGGGTGCAGGGGGACTCCATGGGGTGGAGGAGAGAGGTGGCAGGGTCTAATGTGGCACCCACAGTGTTGTGGTGCAGCCTGGGGCGGATGTGGGGGTGCTGCCGGGTAGGGAAGCAGTGATCTGCTGTGCCCCCTGCCCCCGGGGGTCTGAGTGGAGGTCTGAGGGTCTGTGTGCACTCCCTACTGCCTCCCTCAGACCTTGCTCCAAGGGCAGCTCAGGGAAGGAGCGTAGCATCCAATGCCCCCGCCCTGCTCAGGGAAGACAGATGTCCCAGGAATTCACTCCTCAGATGCTTAATAAGCACCTGCCCAGTAGGGCAGATCATGTGACCAGGAGCTGGGAGTTCATCCTGAAGTCTGACTGAATGCCTCCCCCTGCAGTCAGCCAAGGGCTCCAGGAGAGTTGCTGGGCAGGTTCTAGTCCCCTGCTGCCCTCAGCCCTCCGGAAGGCTCCTGTGCCCCAGAGGCTGCCCCCCGGGAACAGTGGCTTCCATGCATGCAGATGCAGAAAGATGCTTGAAGTCATCCTCTGCTCCAGAACCCGACCCAGCATCCTCTCCTCTCCAGCTGAGGCTGACCTCGGGGCCCAGATGTTTCACCTGGACAGAGGGCCCAAGGGGGCGCGGAAGCCAGAGGGTATCCTGGCTGCATCTCCGGAGGCTGCAGCTCAGAGGGAGAGGAGAGGAAGGAGCCAAACCCACAGCAAGAGGGACATGGGTCAGATTCCGACCACCAGGACTGCATGGGCTGAGTCCACCAGGCAGTGACTGGTAGATGTCCCGGGATGGCCCAGGTATGTAGCGTGGGGGGACGGTGACCAGAAGTCCTGCAGATCAGTAGGACTAGAACAAGCCAGGCAGGAACAGAAGAAACCTAGATGTGTAGGGTCCTGAGCGTGCCCTTCTAAGGACCCACATGCTGAGACCTCCTACTGCAGGCTTTGCCCAGACCCCTGTGAACAGAGGGGGCAGGGCCCCCACCCCACTGTCTCCCAGGCCCGTGGCCTCCCCAGACCAAGTTGGCTCTGCTTGGCCTTGCCATTGGCCCCTCCAGGACAGAGTAAAGGCCAGCTTGGGCCCTGTTCCATTCAGCCTAGGGAGATGAGGGGGGCAGGGGTGAGAGCATTTTGGGGTCCCTGATGAGAGCAGATGAGGGGAAAATGAGCTGCCAGTGTCTGTCCTGGCCTCGCTGCAGTAATTTCTGCCTCCTGAGGTGCCCCTGGGTCACAGCGAGCTGGACATCTCAGCATCGTGGGGGCCCCCACTGCCAGATCCTCCCGAGGGCCTGCCTGTGTGTGCCAGGCACCACTCGGGCTGGGGACACTGCTCTGAGTGAGAGCCACAGTCCACCCATGGCTGACAGTCCTGACAGTCGTCTCTGGAGGTAGTGAGTTCCCCGTCACTAGGTGCTGAGCAGAAGGCCTTGGTGAAGACGCCGTCGGTTGGGAGTTGGGAATTTTCTGGCCATGCCCTGGCCCATGCTCAGGGACAAGAATGTGCCCCATGGAGGCCCGGAGAGACAACAGTGTAAAGAGATCTTGGAGCTGGCACCTGGGGCTTGGGGGAATTTGGTTTGCAGAGGGTGAGGATGGCTGCACCCAGTGACCACATGTATGTGCACACACGTGTGTGTGTGAGTAGTTGCATGAGGGGCTGGCGTGGATCGTGGGGAAGAGGTGAGCCGACGGTGTGCGGACAGTGTGCGAAGGGGCACATCCTGGCACGCGCAGCACGCGCTGCACAGAAGCCAGGCTGCACCGTGAACGTGGCCTTGCAGGGAAAGGGGGGCTGCCTGCCACCTCCTAGGCGGTGCCCAGCCAGGTGCGGAGGGGCCTCTGGCCTTTCAACTGGGAACTGCCCAGTCTCCTCAGCAACGAGCCCTTTGGGGGTGTACGGGGTTGTGTCTCCGTCCCACCGGTACCCAGGCTCTGGAATAGCAGGTGATAGGTACCGTTTCCCCTCAGTTCCCAAGAATCGGGTCTGGGCTGAGCCTGGAGTGGGTCCTTGAAATCAGACAGGCCCAAGACCCTGCAATGTCTGTTTCCTCTGTGCCGCCTGGCCTGCTCTAGCCCCACTCGTCGGCCCAAGACTGTCCTAAGCTTCCCCCACCCCCGCCTGAGCTCTGGGCCCCGATCCCCGCCCCCCGCAGGTGAGGGTCTGTGCCCGGGAGCTTTAGATCAAGGAGGCCCTGGGGGTGAGGCTGCGCTCCCAGGAGGTCAGCTCAGTGCAAGAGGTCTCCTGCGGGAGGCGCGCTTGGGCCAGACCTTGGCCACTTGGAGAAGGCGTCCCGGAAGGTGGGAGCAGGGGAGCCTGTGCGCATGGGTGCTCATGGCAAGCAAGGAGGGTTGGGGCCAGGTGGGGCAGGGGGGCGGGGGGGTGCTGGAGGAATGTCACACCTGGGCTTTGGGTCATCCCAGGCCCCAGCTACTGGGCACCTGCAAGAAGCAAGGATTGGGCCCTGCCGTTCTGCAGAGCCAGCCTGCTGGCGGCGGCCCTGCCGCAGGAGCTGCGGTTGCCTGGCACCTCTGTGGTTGCCATGGCAACGACGGAGGTGCTAACTTGCTAATGAGTCCCCCTCGGCTACAAATAACAATACTACAGCGGGTAATAGGGCCAAGCTGGAGAGTTCCTTGGGGGAGTGGGGCTGAGACCAGGTACTGGGCAGGGGAGCGTGGCGGCCCACCCTTCCAGCACCCCGCCCCCCGCGCCCCTGTCCTGCAGCCCTGCAGCCCGGCTGAGCTCTTCCCCACCCTCATCCTGAGTCTGCCTCCCTGCCTGTCTTGCAGATGGAGCGGGCGCCCCTCCACACCCCAGCTCCTCTCACGGCCAGTTAAGGACCTGAGGGCAGTGTTTGTGCCCAGCGGCTGCAGGGAGGGCAAAGGACCTCTCCCCCAGCCCCTTCCCTTGTCCCTGCCCTGAAGTGCTGTTTGGCTTCTGTTGCTTTAGGTGGGAAAGTCTGCCCTCATCTGATAGGGACCATGAGCGCCCCTCTGCCCCCCACTGCATCTGTCTCAGGGACTGGGCCTCTGAGCTGGGCTCCTGGCCACACATCCAGGGCAGGAGGCTTGTGGGAGGGGGCCGGTAGCTGCGGCCTGTCTGCCACAGTCTTGACAAGGTGCAGCTTAGAACTTGGAAGCTTCTCAAACACCTCATACAGGAGTCGAATTGGGGACCGCTCACCACACAGGCTGGGACCCCCCTCAGCAGGTGAGGACCCCCAGGCAGGTGGGGAACCCCCTCCACAGACAGGACCCTCCCAGCAGGTTAAGACCCCCCCGCAGCATGTGGGGTACCCCTTTTGGCAGACGGGCCCTTCTGCTGTTGACCTTGTTTGGTATGGCCCTCAGGAGGGACAGCATCCCCAGCTGCGCCCCAGGCCTCACCCCCACTGTGGAGGAGCCCGGGTACCTGCGTGGGGAGCAGGGAGTCTGTGAATGGGATCCCAAGGCCCTGCCCACTGGCCAGGGCCATCCTGGGCACTTCTCCGTGGGTCAGCTCCAGTGGCTCAGCCTAAGGCTGCCCATAGCCAGCAGACGCGGTCTACACCCTGCCTGACACCTAGTTCTCTGTGAATTCTGCCATCCCCACCCAGGGAGCTCGCCTCAAGTGTGACGAGTGCCCTCAGGGGGCCTCACCCCAACACCATCTGCAGCTGCAGATTGGGGGCTTGCTGAAGGGGTCCCCCCTCTGACATCTGTCCCCCAGCCTCTCCCGTGCCTGAGCTGGGTCGGGGTGTGGTGGAGGGAAGACCCCGATTGAATGGCAGTGGTAGAGGCCTTGGGTCCTGACTGTGATGTGACCTGAGGCTGGTCCCACCCCTTCCCCAAGCCTCCGTCTCCCCATCTTCAAAGTAAACTCATCATCCTCACGCTGTGCGCCTCCCTGTGGGCTGGGAGGCTAGTTGGGCCTAAGAAAGGCCAGTCCTGGCAGGCGGCAGGGCAGGTGGGGCCTGGCAGGTGGGGTGGGGTGGGGGTGGGAGGTGTGTGGCAGAGGCTTAGCACCAAACCCACAAGAGGGGTCTCCACCCCAGGATCTGGAGTCCCCCTGTCCCCATCTACTCCTACTTCCTCCGCCAAGATCCCTTACAGCCAGGCCAAGAGTCCCCGCACCCCCAAGAGTCCTACATCTGGGTCACCTACTTTGCCTTTCATCCTTGGGCGCCACCCATCCCACCCCATCCTGGGACCTACCAGCCCCTAGAAGGGTCCCCCCGGACCTCAGGCCTGCACCGTGCCTGGCACACCCTGCCATGCTGCCCCCTCCACTCTGTGAGCGTGTGACGCGCTCCGCAGGGAGACAGACACCGGCCCCAGACCGTTTGTGCAGCCCGCACGTGGCAGGCACTGAAGCTCGGGCTGCAGGACTGGGACAATGGCGGCAACAGAGGACCCCCGCCTCCACGCCCGAGACCCTGCAGCACCTTGGCCGGTGCCTGCCCCAGGACCCCAGCAACGTGGGGAGGCAGCCCCACCCCCCTTCCTCTGGGTCCAGATGGTCGGCAGGGAGGGATTGTGCTGGGTGGGGCTGGAGAGGGCCATGTGCTGGGGCAGGGAGCAGGTTCTGGACCTTGCCTCGCCCAGAGTTCTGGAGAATAAGACGTGCAGGCCAGAGAGGGGGAACATCTGCATCCCAGCAATGGGATGACAGAAGCCTTGGGGGCCGAATGAAGGGTTCCGGATCCGAATGAGTGTCCATGAACCCAAGGGCCCAGGGGAGGGGTCCTCAGGCCTGTCCTGCCTGTCCAGTCCAGTGCTTCCCTCTGTGGTTCCCCCAGTTGTCTGACTTGTCCCACTGAGAGGATGTCGCCGTGGCCTGCACAGTGCAGTGCTGGATGGGACCATTCGTGACCGCTCTCCCAGTCCAGTGGTCCACCTCACTAACCTTAGATGTCTGGGGACTTGGCTTTCATAGAGCCAGAGGGGCTGCCGATTTGCCCCAAGGGAGGAAGGGCCCCCGTGGGTGCCTGCCAGGCTCAACCATTCCGGAGCTCTTGGGTCCCACCATGGGCCCTTTGGAGGTTGGCCCTGCCTGGGAAGCTGGCCGGGTGCCCCCCTGGGGGCCTGCAGCCCTGCTGACCCTCTGCCTCTCCCTGCAGGTCTGGCACCATGCCCAGTCCCTCCGAACTCTAGGCCACATCCCTGGCCTGCAGAGCAGCCCCTGTTCACTTCGGGGCTCACCCCCTCCCCACTGCCCACTGCCCCACCATGGCCGGGGACCGGCTCCCTCGGAAGGTGATGGATGCCAGGAAGCTGGCCAGCCTGCTGCGGGGTGGACCTGGGGGACCGCTGGTCATCGACAGCCGCTCTTTCGTGGAGTACAGCAGTGGGCACGTGCTCAGCTCCGTCAACATCTGCTGCTCCAAGCTGGTGAAGCGGCGGCTGCAGCAGGGCAAGGTGACCATCGCCGAGCTCATCCAGCCAGCCGTGCGCGGCCAGGTACCTGGCCCCTGCCACCCACGCCCTGTCCCCCGTCCCACCCAGGCACCCATCACTTCCAGGGGCAAGGGCAGAGCTCCCCAGCCAGGTACACAGGGGCCCTCTGCTTGGGCGCCCCCCCCCCCCGCAGCCTCAAACCCAAACTGAGCTCTTAGGGTCAGAATGTTCTGAGCCGTTCCATACCTTGGGCCTTGTAGGCAGCTCCCACCCCCCTCCCTGAGCTTCCTCTTAGGGTGCACAAATGTGTCTCCCCCGGAGGCCCTCTGCTGACCCTATCTCCCCAGATACAATTCATCACCCCTCCCGCCCAGAGCCTGCTGACCCTGTCTGGGTCCTCACTCAGCCCCCGAGGAGAGGTCTCCCCACGTAAGACTGGGCGGTGTCCCTGGGGCCCAGCCCAGGGCTCAGAGAGGGGCACAGGGGTGGGGTGGGGGCACAGAGGGGCAGTGGACCAGGATGGCAGCTGGTCAGGCGTACACCGAGTGCTGTGAGAACACAGAGGAAGACAGGAAGGGGGGCCAAGAGGCTTATGCTGAGCCGTCATGTGCCCAGCCTCCCAGTTCTTTCCCCTAGAGTTCTGAGTGACCCAGAATTCTTTCTGTGCCCCTCCCCCCCAAATGTCCCAGGTCACCTGCAGTGGACAATCCTGTCTCTGTTAGCCAGGAGCATCAAGTGCAGCACTGGGAAGGACCACTGGCCCTGTGGCCTGGGAAGGTGGGGGCACCTCCAGTGGGGGGAGTGACATGGCCAGCAGCCTGGAGCTGGGAGGGGTCTCGGTCACAGGCCCTGTGCCAGCAGCACTGGATGTGAGAGGACCCAGGTGGCACAGCCCCCGCCAAGGCCAGAACCAGCTCCCTGCAGCCTCAGTGAGGGGAATCCGGTGATTAATCACCCCCAGCGAGGACTCCCTGCCAGAGCGCAATCCCATTGGCTGCTGGTGACATCATCCAGCCCAGGGTTGGCGGCTCAGCTGGCTGAGGGGCTGAGTGTGCTTGGGGGGCAGGGCATTAGCCACTGGGAGCAAAACCTGCTCAGCATCTGGTCCCAAGCCTGGGCATTCAGGATGGGAGGAGGGCAGTGGAACCCCAACTTCTGGCTGCCTCCTGAATTAAGGAGGGCTCTTGCAGCAGCCCCCACTTTTCCCATCACTGGCTGGGGAATTGCCCAGACGCAAAGGCACCCCACCCTCAGAAGCCCCAAAATGTGCCTCCCAGTGGCCCAGGGGACAGGTTTCCCTTTGCCTCAGCCACCCTGACGGCACATCCCTGGGACCGTGGCCACCCGTGTGTGTGCCCAAGGACCCTGTTACATTCACCTGCGTCTCCTCCACGGGGGCCCGGCCCCTGGTGCGTGCCCATTGCATCTGTTCCCTTAGCACAGGTCTGGGCGTGAGGCCGTGGCGTTAGGAGGAGCGTGCCCCTGTTTCTGCCCGCTCTGAGGGCTTGCCTGTGGGGCCGTGGCATCCAAACCCGTCCAGGTGTGGGCTCTGAGGCGGGTGGGCGGGTGAGAGCCCGCCCCTCCCCTCCATGCAGCCAGGGGGCCGTAGCCCCTCCCTGCCGCAGCCTGACCAGTAGTAGTGGGTGGCAGCAGGGGATGGGGGATCTGGCAGGTGCCCAGCGGTGCCCTGACCTCTGCCCTCACGGCCTCCAGGTGGAGGCCACAGAGCCGCAGGACGTGGTGGTCTATGACCAGAGCACACGGGACGCCAGCGTGCTGGCTGCGGACAGCTTCCTCTCCATCCTGCTCAGCAAGCTGGACGGCTGCTTCGACAGCGTGGCCATCCTCACGGGTGAGCTCCAGATAGACCCGGGCCAGGGGGCTCTGGGGCGCCCTCTCCTCCCTTCCTCTCTCTCCTCACTGTGAGCTTAGCTATGGGGGGGTGGGGGCACCTGGGGAGTCAGCTTCTGGGTCCAACTCTGCTCTCTTCTCTGAGCCCAGAGACCAGCAGCTACTGGGGTGGTGTTGGGGGGTGGGGTGCTCTCTCAGTAACTGGAGTTCCCCAAGGCTCCATTGTTCCCTCCCCCGGGCCCCCACACTCCAGAACCCCCTCCACCATGGGCCTACCCCACCACTAGCAGGTGAAGCAGTAGGCAGGAGGAAACCCCTAAATGCATTCGTGGCAGGGGAGGAGGGAAGGGATCTAGGCAAAGATGTGTCTCTGCCCTTCTAGCTGTCTGAGAGAGGAGACATAGCCCCCATCCTCTGCAAACTCCAGTCCGAGCAGAACTGGTCCGACAGGGAGTCCCTCTGAATGCTGCAGTCAGCACAGGATGCCCGACCCCTGCCTGGGGGCCAGCAGAGATCCCTGTAGGGCTTCCTGTTCCCCAAAAGCAGCCCAGGCAGCCTGGAGGCTGGGAAGCCCCCCATACACACACCTGCACACACGCACACACACACACAGGCCCCACCCTGGTTCTTGATGATTCCTTCCTCCTGTTGGCAGGGGCTGAGGCACTTCTGTAGAACCCACCTCCCAGAGGTGGCCCAGGTCCCAGGGCTGGGTTGAGCTGGCCTGTCCCAGGGCTGTACACCCTCCCTGCCCAGGTCTGAGGCCTCTGTGGGTGCTCCTGCCAGGGGCCATGGCAGGTGGGCGGAGGATGGAGAGGGCTGAAGAGGGTGTCAGCCCCCCCACCCCACCGCCGATAGGACACTTCTGTACACTCACCACGTCTGCCCTGAGCAGCCCCTTATGTGCAGACACCCCGTGCGGTGGTCCGTGGGCAGCGGGCTCCCACCGTTGGGAGGATGGACCTTCCCCACGGCCCCTGGGATGCCTCCTGGTGGGTCCACATCGTGTGCAGGTGTGCGTGCTGCCATCTACACACGTGCCTGGGTCTACGCGGTCAGAGGGCGTCTGTGCATCTCTGCACAGCTCTGGGAAGCTGGTGATCCGTGCTTGCTTGTGTGGTGGGATGTGGGGTTTGTGTGCATGTGTGTGAACTCTGAGAACCCGAGGCCACAGAATTGCAGACTCTCTGATTCAACCACTGCCCCCTGGGCTCAATTTGGGGGCTGAGCGGATAGGGAGAAGAGGGAGAGAGGACAGAGGCTCTGGGCTTCTTAACGGGTGTCCTGGGCAGAACAGGAGCCCAGCTGGGAACCCCAGTATGCGTGTGTTCACGCATGCACGTGTCAGTGTGTGGTGTGTGTGTGCGTGCGCATAGTCTCTACTCAGGAGTGGGGGCCACCAGGCCTTCTGAGAGTCTGAGAAACAGGTCCCAGAGCAGCACCCTTCCTTACCCCAAGGCTGCCAGGAAAGCCCAGGACCTCTAATGTGTGTCTCCTCTGGAGGCTGGGCCTCCTCACCCAGCATGCAGTGGGGCAGGCCTAGGCTCGGATGTGCCGGGAGGGCTCACCTGGGACCTGGCCATGCCCCACTTGGTTCGCTAAACTCTTGGGGCTGCCACGTGCCCTTTCTCCCCTGCCTGCCCCTCCCTGAGAGGTTAGAGTATTTGCCCCCATTTCCCTGAGGGCCAAGCCAGGCAGAAGTCATGACCCACCACGGTATGAGAAGAGCTCGTACGTAGTAGCACCAAATCAGGACCCAGACTCGCGGCCTCCTGGGAGCCTGGCCCACAGCACCCACCCTGAGGCGAGCACGGCCCCTGAACCAGTGAGCATGGGAAGGCGAGGCTGAGTGGGACAGAGGGATGCTGCCCCGCCAGAAAGGGGAAGTGACTTTCCAGGATCCCTAGCACAGGGGGAGGGGGCCCGGCGGGGGCCAGAAAGGGAGGACCCCACCCCTCGGTGGGTGGGGCTGAGGAGCGCCAGGACGATGTCGCGGCTGGAGGACAGGGAGATCTCTCTCGGTGACAGGGGAGGCTCGCGGAAGCAGGAGAGGGCAGAGTGGGGCAGGCGCGCTGGGGTCCGGAACCGGCTGCCGTGACCGCTGCTCCCCCCCGCCCGCCCCCCCACCCAGCTGCTTGGCGGTGACGTCTAGCGGGGCGGGGACGGAAAGGGAGCCTGGCCCTTTAAGCGGCGGGCGGCCCTAGCCCGGGTGCGCGTTGCTGCGGAATGCGGGCTGGTGATGTCGCGGCGCCGGGTCGGTGCGCCCCCGCGGCCCG